GCCTACAGCTACTACGCCCGCTACTGCTGGAATCAGCTTCCAGAAATGATCAGATGTGCTACAACATAGGCACATTCAAATCAACACGTGATTAGGTGTGCCTTTACTGAATGAGCACTGTGCTACATCTGACAGATCGCACTATTATGTCTTTCTTTTCTTTTTCATTCCTTTAAAACCTGTTTAAACACATTTTCATCTGTTTTTACAGTATCTGTTTTATTCTTTGTCTTTACTTTCTTAAACTTGTCTCTTTTATTCCTGTTTATGTACAGCACTTTGAATTACCATTGTGTATGAAATGTGCTATACAAATAAACTTTACTTGCCTTGTCTTTACATATTATTTCTCATACAATATATTATTAACTACTGAAGTGTCATCAAATCACTTTGTTAAACTGTATTGTTGAATTTAACATAAATAAACGGAAAACCCTGGGTATAATGAAATACGTATATTTCAACAATATGGATTTGTTTTTACAGTGTAGCAATGCATGTGTGTTAATGTAAATTCTTGATGAATCACCCTAGTTAGAAATAAATTATTTGACAACTCTTCCTATCTCAGTTCATGCCAGCTTGCCCGTTCAACGTCTGTCTGTCGTGTTCAGATGTTTCCTCAATGATCCTTTTCCACAGCTTACTGTCTCATCATTGCCCTGTTATTCATAATATGGATGATTTCTGTCAGCCTGGAGATTGAGCTTGAGTGAGGGAGCGTGTGCCATGTTGTTGTGTATTCATTTGCGCCCACTCTCTCCTGTCAGACAACACTAGCTAATGCCAAGCACATAGTGAGTTTCTGACATTTGTCTTGCAGCACAAGTTTGGCAGGTAACTTGTTGCATTATTCATGTCTCCATGCATTCGTTCCATCAACGTTAGGGGCACAGGCTGCCTGTTCAGCATAATTTCAAGAGTTTCTAAATGTTTCGATATTAGTCATCTTTGTAGTGAAAGGCACAGTACTCGATTCATGCACTGGGAAAACTCATCTGTCCTCCTATTTTAGAGAAAAACAGTCCATTGGGGACAAAAACACCTTCCAGGCATACAACCATGTTTCAATAATGGCAATTACTCATGGTTTCTGCAGCAGTCAAAAAACCAAATCATCCAGACAACTGAACATACTGATGATTCATATATTTAGAGCAATTACACAAACAGCCCTCCAGATCAACATACTGTATTTTGCTAATTAATGCGAGGCACAGCAGGCAAAAACACTGCTTTTTCAGACACCTGTCAGTTTTGAGATTTTGTGCTGCGGCCAAAACGGGAATTTTCTAAACAGTTTTATTCAGTGCAATGTAAAGATAATGATAAAAATCCAAAATAGAGTGTATTACTTTTGTCACACTTAATTAATTTGTGTCAGTATAAATTTATATTACATATTAAATGTTACGTTACATATACACTCACCAGCCACTTTATTAGGTACACAATAAATACACAGTAATGGGTTGGACCCCCTTTTTGCCTTCAAAACTGTCTTAATCCTTCGTGGCATAGATTCAACAAGGCACTGGAAATATTCCTCAGAGATTTTGGTCCATATTGACATGATAGCATCAGGCAGTTGCTGCAGATTTTTAGGCTGCACATCCACGATGCAAATCTCCTGTTCCACCACATCCCAAAGGTGCTCTAATGGATTGAGATCTGGTAACTGTGGAGGCTATTTCAATACAGTAAACTCATTGTCATGTTCAAGAAACCAGTCTGAGACGATTTGCATTTGATAACATGGTGCGTTATCCTCCTGGAAGTAGCCATCATAAAATGGGTTCACTGTGGTCATAAAGGGATGGACATGGTCAGCAACAATACTCAATGTAGGCTGTGGCAGTGACACGATGCTCAATTGGTACTAATGAGCCCAGAGTGTGCTAAGAAAATTTCCCCACACCATTACACCACCATAAACTTGAACTATTGATACAAGGCAGAATGGATCAATGCTTTCATGTTGTTGATGCCAAATTCTGACTTTTGAGAAATTCTCAAAAGAAAGAAAGACTCATCAGACCAGGCAACATTTTTTCCAATCTTCTCTTGTCCAATTTTGGGGAGCCTGTTCGAATTGTAGCCTCAGTTTTCTGTTCTTAGCTGACAGAAGTGGCACTTGGTGTAGTCTTCTGCTGCTGTAGCCCATCCGCCTCAAGATTTTCGACGTGTTGTGCGTTCAGGGATGCTATTCTGCATACCTCGGTTGTAACGAGTGGTTATTTGAGTTACTGTTGTCTTTTTTTCAGCTCGAACCAATCTGGCCATTTTCCTCTGACCTCTGGCATGAACAACACATTTGTGCCCACAGAACTTCCGCTCACTGGATAATTTCTCTTTTTCGGACCATTCTCTGTAAACCCTAAAGGAGGTTGAGCATGACAATCCCAGTAGTTTAGCAGTTTCTGAAATACTTAGACCAGCTCGTCTGGCACCCACAACCATGCCATATTCAAAGTCACTTAAATCACCTTTCTTCCCCATTCTGATGCTCAGTTTGAACTGCAGCAGATTGACTTGACCATGTCTACAAGTCTAAATGCATTGAGTTGCTGCCATGTGATTGACTGATTAGAAATTTGTGTTAACAAACAGTTGGACAGGTGTACCTTTATACAGGTGTACCTAATAAAGTGGCCGGTAAGTGTACATGTTACATATTAAAGTCTCTTTTTTCTTTTCTCCTGGAATAAGCCATTAATCTCCACTTTAGCAATACTAACACCAAACTTTTTCCTTCATATATCTTTTCTAAAGGTTTTAATAGAGGTGTTTGTTTATAAACTATATGTCTGATTATACAACATTTTATTCTCCATAAAAATAAGATTGTTTTTCTTTCAGGCTGTTTGCAGCACTTTCCAAATTATGGAGTGATAAAAAGCAATTCCCGAAATTCCGTCTGTAAAAATAATAAGCTGAAATACACAAAAACCCAGCCTCATTCGATGTTCAGATTTTTGCAAATTAGTACATATCATTTATTAAATAATGCTTTATATGCATATATAAACGTAACATTTTAGAAAAAGTGTGACACAAAAAGTAGGTTATTCTTAATATATCCAGACAACAGCCCTGTGAAATATGGCAATAATTATTAGTTAAAATTTTAACCCACTTCACCTGCACTGTCTTGTCTAAAGGATGATTTCTCACTTATGAAAGCACAGAGTCTCATCTATCTCTTGCTGAAGCTGAATAAAATGATTGGGACTGGTGTACAGTACATTTGCACAACCCACATACTGCCTTGTCTGCATCACCATAGTAACCAAGACGAATGCCAGAGTGCCGACATTTCGTCTGATACCGGCAGGCGGAAGGTCAGGACCGTGAGGGGGTGAGGGGGGCAAAGGGCGGCCTGAGCGCAGCCAGTAAACAAACATCTCCAAGCCATCCACCCTGTAATCACGCCACTTAGCGTGTGGAGCTGCGCATCATCTAAACTAGCAGTGTGTAGCTGAGGTTATGAAAACATCTTGAGATATTTGTCACAGCTGTAACTTAACTCATTTTCTGACAGCACGCCATATGGAGCGAGGGTGTGAGACTGGCACACAGTGGAGGCATTGCCTGCTTATATGGAGAAATCTGTCAAATACTCTGATGTGCTCTTGGGAGTGACAGTTTTGTTGGGGTTCAAGTGGAAGAATGAATTTTAAAGGGGTCATGAACTGACTTTTTGAATATTGTACAAATCTTTGGCTGCATTTACACTGCAGATCATGATGGTCAATTCCGATTTTGTGACTGTAAGCAATTTTTTGATGACCTCACATCATCTTTTAAAAGTGAATCGTGTTTGATTGTCTGCATTTACACAGCACAAGTCATAAGGCGTAATAAGCATAATACATAATAATCATAGGCGTAATGATAATAAAAGAGTGCTCTTTTCTCCATTCCTGTATTTAATCTGTTTGCAGGATCATTTTTTATTTTCTTTTTGACAAGTTGTTTTGCTATAGTTTATGACAGAAAAGTTATTATTTGTCAATATTCTTTTAGTTGAGGCTTTTTTAAACCAGAAGGGATTTAAATGTCACATCAAGCGTGATTTATGCATGTTTTGTATGCAATAGTTTTATATTAGTTTATAATGTTTACATGGCGAATGTTGTGCTCATGTGTGAAGATGGTTTAATAATTGCTACATGACAGTATAAAAGCTTTTTTTTTTCCCCAGAATATATGATTTAAGGTTTGGGACTTTCTGAAGTCTGTTCTGAAATTAAAGCGTCATAGTTGACGTCATTCGATACAGGTTTTAATGATGCGTGACTTACCCTGACAGATCAAAATCTGATCTGCCTGCTTACATTACAGGGCACAGATCAGATACATTTACACATATGAACAAGGCCTGAATCTGATTCGAGTAAATCGGAATCTATGTGATTTTTTTCTGCTTACACACACATGGGCCATATCTGGTCTGTGCCACATACCGGTAATGTTACAACTTCTCTTTCTGCATACTTGCCGGAACAAATTTTACCAGTATTTTCAAAAAGGGCCAGTTCACACATGATCACTTTTGGATCTGTGTGTATGTGTGAAAGGGGCAACTGTTAGATAATGAAGAGACATAATTCACAATACTGTCATTTTGAGCCATTTGTCTTCAACATAACTTGTTTGTAGACTAACAAGAAAGTTTTCAGCTCTAAAACTGACAGGGTGTCTTTATAGTACAATGACATCTTATACAGTATGCCATGTCTAAAGATCAACAGAGTTTCGATTACTTGGTTCATGACCCCTTTAAATGTTACCAGAGCATTTGATCTTGGGTCACATGAAGGTCTGTTTATTCAGAGGGTCTGATATCATGATTTGGCAAGAGATGAGGGTAAGTAATGACTACAGCTCAGATTTTGGTCTTGGATCAGCTTGATGTGACTTCTCCTCTCAATTTAAAAGTTTAATGAGTGGTATTCCCATAAACAAACATGCACATAGGAATTGCGTTTACTTACTGATGTATACAGGTAGCCCTCGCTGTTCATGGCCAGATAGAGTTTGGTCTGAACTCCCTGGATGGCCACCACTCGCAAGCCCACTGGTATGAGGTTGAACATGGCTGTGTAGGAGACAAAAAAGTCAATTATATTTCCAAACATTTATGCTTTGTAGAGCATATCATGTGCTTATATTGCATACTGTGTTAAGAATGATCTAAGTGACTTTAAATGTGGTGGTTGGTGCAAAACAGGCTTTTTCAGAAACATTGCATGTGCAACCATCTCTAGAATTTCCAGAATGGACAGAGGAATAAATGAAATCCAGTGAGTGGCAGTTCTGGGGGTGAAAATGTCTTGTTGATTTCAAAAATTAAAGTTGAATGGTTCAATTTGTTCAAGCTGGTGGAAAGGCAACATTAACTGAGATCTGCAGTGGAGCATCTCTAAATACACAGCACGTCCAACACTGGAGCAGATGTCAGCTAAAAACAGCAAACTGAAACTACAGTTCACACAGGCTCACCAAAATTGGAAAATAGAAGATTAAAAAAGGTTGCCTGATCTGAAAGGCCCAGATTTCTGCAGCAACACTGGGATAGTAGGGTCAAATTTTAGTTTAACCAATGTGTAATCATGGATACATTTAAACTTGCATCAATGGTTCAGATTCCTGGAGGTGTAATGGTTTAGAGAGATAATCTTGGGTCTCACCAATTAAGGATTGTTTAAATGCTATAGCTTTATTGAATATTGTTGCCAATGCTGTTGCATTTATGATTACAGTGTAACATGGCAAGTTCACACAAAAAGTCACCAAATATCATTCCAGTAGAGTACCAGTAGAGACATTCTGTAGGAATGTTTCCACCACATTGTTAAAACTATATCATGAAGAATTAACCCATCTATGCTGTTGGGGATGTTTTCATCCTCTCTAAGTGATTCTGAGTTTTAAATTGGCCACATGTTTCTCTGTATTTCAGCAAATGGAAAGGTTTTTAGTGTCAAATCTTATTTTGACACTTTTTTTAGGAAAATGCTTTGGAAAATTTCAAAAATTCAATAATACACTGGGAAAATTGACTACCCTTTTGTTATGTTTATGTCTGTTTTTACCCCATTATCCCATTATATTAACATTTGTTTGATTGCAAAGGCATTACATTATATGATAAAGCATTCTTGATTGTTGGTGGTTTTCCCTGTTGGGAAGAGGTAAGATTTTAAATTTGTACTGTTGACGATAAGTTGCAGAGCAAAAAAGCTTAAATTTTGCCTTATATATGGAGCATAGAGTGTGTGTGAGAAACACATAAGTGCACTTATCTTGATATGTCTAAGAAAATCAAATATACTGTAAGCAGCTCAGCTCTCAGGAAACAGTAAACACAGTAAGTGTATTTATGCACACACTCTATAATCTGCCGTTTTACTCCATAGAACTCCATATAAAAGCCAGAAACTTTTTTGCACAGGCTTATCTAAAGGGTTGAAGCTGCCAACTGATGATCAACAATAAAAATTACACATTTTATCTCTTCACAATAGGGAAAACCACCAACAATCAAGAATGAATGGGTTTATGCTGCCATGGTTTTGTCAAAAAAATGTCTTTAAAATAGAAGTTAATGGGGCAAAAACAGCCACTAACATAACGAAAGGGAAGTCAATTTGAACAGTACACAAGGGTTAAGGCAGCTGTAAAAAGAAAAGGTACTAGTCACACAAAAAAAATGCAAGCAGCGTGAACCTGAGAATGCAGATGCGCATGTTTACATTTTTCATTATCATCATATCAGCTGCACTGACATTCTGTCCACTCACGCACTGTATGCTTCATCAACACAGAGTCTCAGCAGAATCTGGAAAGACCAGTAAAACTGCACAGCTATCAATATGTCACAACACCATATGTTTTTGTTACTTTAACTTAGTAAAATAATTTAATAATGTTTTAACTTTTATTAGTTGTTTCAATGTGATAGCGTTTGTCTAACTATAGGGCTAAACAAAGTTTGGCTGTTTAGTTGGTTATTATCTGAATAGTTTTCCCCTTGCAACCCTGGTATCTAAACAGAAACTAAATTAATTTATGATGAACTATACTTAGTAAAACTAAAACATCTAAAATTGAAAAATAAAATAAAAATTTATTAAAATAAACATGAATAAATACTATAATATTGTAGTTATAATGAATTTGGCTGATCAGACATAAATATTTAACTTTTATTCAACAAATAATACACGGTCAACTTCTAACCTGGACAAGACTGGATAGTCAGTTGTAATCCGATTCCAAGGTATTAACGCTAAAACCTAAAACCTAAAGAAAACTAGAACCCGAACCACAACCAAAAAGAGAACTAACACAGACTCCAGGAGAGAGAGCTGTTGCGTTCCAGCTTAGGACAGCTTCTCTTAGTGTCTAGTGAAGAGACTTGAACCCTGGCAAGAATTGGGTTAAACGCACAGCCCAGACATTCTCATCTCCTATAACTTTCTTTTTTTTTTTTTTTTAGTTTAGTACACTGCAAAACCATAAGTCAAAACTTGAAATGACACTCATAGCCTTGCGAGGTCAAATAGCTGAAGTCAACCGTCCATTTGAATGATCGATGGAGGATTCGTTTGTTCGAATTTCGAGTCGATTCTTTTGAAGCCCCGTTTAAATTAATCTTCAATTCACTTTGAGCTAATTTGCAACAGTAATATAAATAACACAAATAAGCTATCCCTGGAGCAGCCCCTTTTCAAAAGGTACTAATATGGACCGTATACTGTAGGTCCTGTATAAACATGATTTAAAAAGAGACAACCAGATAGACACAAACACATTTTGCGGATTATTTTTTAAATCAAAGTATAGTTTTCTCACAGCATTTTACTATATTTTAACTCTGTCATTTTCTTAGTATCCCAGTCAAATCCAGGTCAATTTAACCTGACTCATTCTTATCTACATGTGGCAGCATATCACCTCCCTGCCTGGCAATTGTGTGTTACATTTTCTCTGAACTGCCGCCTCTTTAACATAGTTCCTCTTTTTTCCTTTCACACACGTTTTCTCTCTCTCCCTCTCTCTCTCTCTCTCTCTCTCTCTGTCTGTTTCACACTCGTCCCTCTGTCTCTTTCACACATAGGTTCTCTGTTGAGCAGAGTTAGTGAGCTGTGCGGGGCTCTGTCATCCTGGCACCACTGGCTGTGCCAACTCTCCTCACACCTTTGTCCCCCCTGTCACCACGTAAGCCATAAAGCTGACAATCTCTCCCATCCACACAGCCTGTTTCTGCCAGTGGGCAGAGTGAAGCAGCCAGCCAGCCACCCCTGACACTGAGAGTATCTGAGGAACATAAGCTCGCGGAGGAATAAAAGCACAAGCTTTCTGAAAGGAGAAATAAAGTGAGCCATTTTACTGGTTATGTAACTCAGCTTGATTAAAAAAACAAGAGGGAAACAAACTTACAAAGTGAAATACTGCTTTCATGGTGGTATGTGTGCTTACAGAGAACAATGTACTCTGATCCAGATTAGCACACTTACAGTACACTGCAGCCATTTAAGATCATGTTGCTGTTGCTGTACATAACAAAAGTACAACATACATTTTTGGATAATACATAATTACAGCATCTAACAGGCCCGTAGCCAGCCTGGTGAAAGGGGTGGTTCTTATCTTAAAAAGTGGACCTTTTTGCAATTATTAGCTATTTAATTATGAGGTTTAAACACTTTTTGGCACTAGTTTTTGCTGGATTAGCTGGTTAGATTGTCATCAACCAATTATTTTTTTGTATGTACCAAAAACATTTCCTAAAGATTTAGAAGGAAAAAAAATTAAACTAATTTTAGAATATATTTATTACATTATACAGTTGAAGTCAGAATTATTAGCCCCCTTTTTTTTTATTCTTTTTTAAATATGAAATTATATATATATATATATATATATATCTTTTTAGAGAAGGTCTTATTTGTTTTATTGAGGCTAGAATAGAAGCAGTTTTTAACTTTTTAAAAAACATTTTAAGGTCAAAATTATTAGCCCCTTTAAAGCTACATTTTTTCCATAGTCTACAGAACAAACCATCGTTATACAATAACTTGCCTAAATACCCTAACCTGCCTAAGTTAAACTAATTAATCTAGTTAAGCCTTTAAATGTCACTTTAAGCTGTAAGAAGTGTCTTAAAATCTAGTCTAATATTATTTACTCTCATCATGACAAAGATAAAATTAATCAGTTATTAAAATGAGTTATTAAAACTATTTTACCACTACTATGTAGTGGCTAATAATTTAGGAGGGTTAATAATTCTGACTTCAACTGTATATCATTAGAAAAAAGGATGCTGTTCAAGCTTTAATTTAAAACCTAGCCTATTGTTATTTATTAGGCAAACACAAACTGGCCAGCACACTCAACTTTCCTCAGTCATGCTGAAGCAACAGCCAAAATAGGATTCTGCTTGGTCTTAAAGTCTTCTTCGATGGTTATTTTCATTTTTATGATGGTATAGCAGTCAAAATAGGAAAAATGAGCTTGTGTATGGGACAAATTCTAGACCTTTGTCAGTGAGGGGTGGGTCTTTCGAACCACCTGAAGCCCCCCTGGCTATGGGACTGTATAATATAATAATCCTTGATCCTTTAAGGGGTAGTTCACTCAAAAATAATTAATTTATAGTATAAAATTGTCTTAATTAACTTGCATGAATGTACCTTTTTTCCTAAAGTCATATAAAAGCTTGTGAAAGTTCAAATATAAAGACCATTGGGGACCTATCTTAAGAAGTTTGTCAGTCTCCAACATTCTGCACAGTCTGCACAATTTTTTCTTCTTTTTATTGGTATTGTACTGTTTTGTTAAATATCTTATAAATGTAAAAAAAAATTACAAGCATAAAGACCATGAAAAAAAGTCAATATTTTGTCATTTGTTTTAAAAGGGTTTTCATGATTCATTAACACTTATGCACTTTCTCAGTTATTATTTAGCAGGCAACATTTACTGTAGGTCAACATGTAACAAATGTTGTAATATTGTTTGTAACATGTGTAAATATTATGTAATCAGTTTTTTTATTGGTTAACCCAAAAAGAAATGTCTCTCATCACT